CGAGAACTAATCATTCTGATTGGTCGAGAGCCTTCCTTAACGAATCGGTACGTAACTTCTGGAGATCCTCCACGGCCGCTTCCCCAGGGCATCGGGCGACAGCTGGGCACCACATCCTTAACTCGGGCAGGAGGTTCCTCTCCTGCCCTTAACCGTATCAAAACTTCCTGCTCCCGCACTACAGCCCTTTGCCCATCTCCAGCGGGGCGCCGGTATCTCACCCGGGCTTCTGCCGGTCCGTGGAGACGTCTCCGTCGGGTACTCTCCTCTGCCGGGCAACTCGGTACGTCGAGACTATATCCCCACGGCAGATTCAAGCACCTCGACCTCAAATAAACAATAACGAAATCTTACGAGAGCCTTGACATAACTATACGAATCAACCCGAGAGCGTAGCTTCTGAGCCGGGTGGCGACCCGAAGGGAACCAGAAATCGAGAACGTTATCTGTATCGGTAACCGGAGCCGCCTTGGGACCGTGATTTGAAAAATCACGTCACAATACATATTCGACCACTCAAAAACGTTGGTACGGTTTGACGGCTCTTCGCTCAGGTGATATGTCAATCCTAAAATAAAATTGGTTTCAAGAAAATCGGCGCACTGATAATCTTCCTACTCGTCTCTGGCAGAAACACACCCAACCTGAAAACCGAAAAATGAAAACAAAAAAGGAGAAACAGACAATAAAAAATCGTTACTAAAAGCTATCTCTCTTTGAAACCGTAACCGAAATATATTAAATTTGAAAACCGAAACTAAAAACCGTAACCGAAAATTGATGAATGAAAAACCCAAAACCGAAATCTAAAACCGAAATTCAAGCTTTAACCATTGTGAACACCGTAACCGAATCGATATATCTTTCGGCTGCAGTTCCAGATAATGACGAACTTTTTACAGATATCAATTGTTGCGCGCACACTTGCGGCGGTGAATAGGAAAAAAGGTGCAGGAAAACAATTGATCATTTTCAGTGTTTTTGCAGATCGTCCGTATCGTGATAAGTTTCTATACCTTATGACTTGTAATGCGAATTTGGTCTCGAACTATATTTTCTATTTCACATAATTTTTGTATCATATACTTATCTGGTTTCAAAACTCTATTAAATATATAATGTAAATTGAGGTCAAACTGCAGCTACGAAACATTTTTAAAGAAAATCCGGATCATATTTCATTTTTAAATTTCCTAAAGTTGATGCAGCTGAGTTTACAATGTATAATGTCGACAGTTGTTCCGAATATTAAAAACTATTTACTATTGGCGATAATGAATTTTCACTCTGGGAATTAAAATTTGTTTTCAATTAGAAAATACAAGCAAAATAAAAAGCGGGAGACGATTGGTTACTGATTTTTATTTCAAACGTGTTATAAATTATAATACACATACAATATCATAATCGTAATATATTATAAATGTTAAACAATCCTGAGCAATTACTCTACGTAATAGATAATGAAATATTAATATCGTCGTAGCAACATATCCTAATAATAATATAATGTAAAATACAATATTAATATATATAGATATATATATATTTATATATGTATATATGAACAATCCAATCGATACGGGAGGGGTTTAATCTCGTCCTATTTATACTTCGGAGGCGTGCTGGGGGGCAAAAACATCATTAAACTATACAGTATTAACATTAAATGATCGCAATCAGGGGGTAATTTACAGAATGAACTGATGGACTGGTGATAAAAGACTGTTAAACGATAACGCCATGATATGTGCATAATCTATACACAACAAGAGTGCCTCACCCTCCCAAACCCATAATGAAAAACAAGCGTAAACAATTGTTCTCCGCATAACAAACAAACAAAAATTATTTCTCGAAACTTTTCGCATTTCACTTAAGCTTTTCCCAAGACATTCGACAGATATAATGAATCTTTTCTGTGTCCTGTCCATTACTCCTAGCCATTTTTATTGTTCCGCGCGCTACCACCGCTCTATAAATATACATTTCGAACTTTACTTTCCTATATAAACACACTCAATGATTACGGCTGTATAAGACAATACGATAAGGTATTTCTCTTTCAATATAGACGTATACAATTACTGCTAAAAAAAACATACATAGTAATTGGTTACTGCGAAATCATAGTTGTATACATGACTCGTGGTATTTTAGTGTTTTCTCTCTTATGGATACGTATGTGACTCCAGTGAGGAAAAAAAAGATATCAAAAGTTTTTTCACAATGATGGCCAAAAATAATAGTCACCACATAAAGTCAGATAGTCCACAGTAGTCCGAGATTAAACACTTGCATAACAAATAATGCCCTAGATGCATAATTCCATAACCGTGTAGGGAATAATGAACGTTTTGTAAAATGCTTACGTATCAAAGTTGGTAAACCGCGTATCAAACGATTATCAAACGTGAACTCGTGTTCGTTAAAAAAGAGAAATGTACTAGAAAAAAATAGACAAGTTTCAAGGAAAGATATATCCCAGAAAAAGAAGTCTTCCGTACGGCAGAGATAAATAGAAGGGAAGAGAACAGAGTGCAAAAGAGACACGTGTACGATTTACCGTCTATTTCCGTATTTACGTACTCAGCTATTGAATCATGTTTACCTCATAAACATGCTCAATACAATTACGGTTATAATAATTAACGGAACAATTAAAACGGAGTAGTGACAAGTAGACATCTACTAGACATGAACTATAGTGACATAATAGATACGTGTCTTCTTTTCAAACAATAATTCAGAGCTGTCTCTGACGATCAATCATCGTCTTAAAAAGTCTATCAAAAATTTGTGTTCAGCACCATTCTTTTTAAGTCCATAATAGATTTCGCAGAACCTAACGTATTCTAGATTCGTAAATGCCTGAACAGCGTTCGAGGATACATGACGTCAAAATCTATAGAAAATATTATGACAAAGGAGTGGGGGGGAGTAAGAATTAAATTTTGACAAAGTAGACAAAGGGAAGAGAAAGATCAGCAACGCTTAAAGCTCAAAACGCTTTTTCCTCTCAGCGACCATGCCCACCGCGGGGAGTGGGGGGTGGAGTGGGTGATGATAGGTCGGCGTTGGTGTCGTAGGTAAACTTCTGCAACCTCTGTTGGACCACCTCACTGCAGGAGACCTCATCAGCTCTGAAACAAAACAGGAAAAGTATTAAAATGACAGCTTGACCCTCTGACACTTATTCTTCTTCTTGAGAGCTTCTTTTGTACAAGAACAAAGTGTATGGTAAATATAATGGGACTTGTTTCGATAATGCAATCGTTGCTAAACTACATTTTTCGTGACACGGACCTGCAACGTAGAGAGCTGGGGGTTCCGAGATGAGGCTGGATGTGTGACGAGTGTTGGCACGGATGGCGTATGCCTCCGGCTGTTGCTGTTTTTCACTTTGTTTGTTCTCCTGCCCCCTGACGCCATTGCTGCAGACTCGCATCGCTGTTGTGCCACCTTTTTTTAGTTAAATTTATCTAATTACTTTAAAGGCTCGCAGTGTTACTAAATAGAGATTGTGATACTCCACGTGTTTAGGCGTCGACTTACATAATATAGTTAAACGACAGAGATTAATGTGCTGGAAAACGTAGTAGTTAAATTATTCAATTTTCATTTGTTTTCTAAGTTTTCACAGCACATTGTTTCACGATCTGTCATTTTTATTGAGGATGATTACTATTTTAATTGGCAGGTCAATCTTATAAGTATTTTAGAAGAATTAACCTCTAGATCGCCGGACGTCTACATATAAGCATTGAAAGGTTTACTTATTCAAATAAACTATATATCAATTAACATGTCAAAGACTGGAAAAACTAAAGACGACGTGCGGCAATCTAGGAGTTAATAATCACTGGTCTCACTTGGAAGTGTTAAGATGCTATGAAAGGTTGTTAATCGTTATCAAGGATAAACTACTTTTTGTTGTTGTTGTAATGCAATTGTAGCAGGATCACTTTACTTTGTATTATAATGAGCGTCCATTGACAATTTTGTTACCTAATGATGAGTGATTCATGTTAAGTTCTATAGCACTATTCTGACATACAGAGTATGATAATTGTTTTGTATGTTAGTTAGGTTAGGTTATTTTGATTACTCTCGTCGCTTAGATCTCACATATATGATATACGCAATGATTAGTGATAACGCATTAATTGAAACACTTCTGCCAATAATTACATATCTTAATATAAATTATACTTGCTTCAGACACCAATAGAGCATATAAACGATTGTATGAAATACTTATATCATCCAGTGAACATTCAACATACAGATAATTCATAATAACTCATAGCCGATCATCGTAACGCTGCCACAACACACAAAAAGCACCCGCAGAACATTCTTCACAACGAAGCTACGTCAGAGATATTATGTTGTTCGAAAATCAATAATTCCAGAGTGAAAGAAGCATTTATAAAAAGTCTATAATGCATACAAAAATTTAACGATCTCAAGCAACATGATTTCCCTCTCCTTTCTGAAGCGTACAAAACCTACCGCTACCAGGACACATTCTTAGTCCCTTATGTTTTTACATTTATTCTTTTAACACGTTGAGTGCCACGTCAGTCATCGGTGACTGACATTGAACTTTCCGTTCAGACCGCGTCAGTCACCGGTGACTGACACTCAGCACCTCTAAGCAGCGCGTGAGGCCTGACGGGAATTTCCTTTTAAATTCGCGTGGCACTGAACGTGTTAAATCTCTCCAACGTCAAACACCTCAGCCCAAGATCATAAAAGCTAATATTCACGAGGCCACGGCAGTATAACGATGCAGTCCACCACCACCACCAGCAGTCAGTCAATCGTTTAATGATTTTCATCATTTTTAATTCACCTCTCTTCTGTACCTTGATACTGATGAGGCAGACCACTCCTTGGTCTTAAGCTGTCCCAAAGTGGAGATGCAAGGCCATTGCGCTCCTGGTTCTTTTGCCCTAATTCACTTGATTCTTTCTTTCTATTAAGACCTGTGACGCCACCGCTAGATCCCGGACAGTTTTTAACCAGATTGTTCGAGTAGGGCAACGATATAGACTTGATTCGTTCAAGTTTGTAGGCAAACGACGGGTTCGTCTTGTCCACGGTTAATGATTTTTTCTGAGTGCAGAAGAATTTCGATACCGGGGTGCCTTTGGGACTACTACTGGTAGTAGGAGCTACAGTAACAGCAGCGCCAGCAGTGGTAGCAGTACTAGTAGTAGTAGTAGTAGTAGTAGTAGTAGTAGTAGTAGTAGTAGTAGTAATAGTAGTAGCAGTAGTGGTAGTAGCAGCAGAATTGATAGAAACTAATTTCGAATCTTCGCCTGCGCGTGATACTTGCTCGTGACTACTGCCAATTCGCTGTGGTGAGTATGCTGGCGAGTAGCTTAGCGACGGTGAATTTTTCGGCACACCGGACGAGTCACGTAGGCCGTCCCCATGCTGTTAGTGAAATATTGAAATGACCATCAGTGCGACTGATGATTTCTTATTAATATTAAGATTATTTTTTATATATTATATACCACGTTAATATGCTCCTTGCCACATTTTTCTTGCAATCGCATGTTATGGTATTTCTGGTTTATCTGTCATCTATGACATAGAGAACCTCCATGATTGCCATACATATTTACAATGGAGTTGAAAAATCGGAATTACCTTGACGTCACTTCCGAATCGCTGTTATCAGGACTGAGGTCGGGTATGGCTTTTGTGTACGTAATTTTGTTAGTAGGCCTGATTGATGACACATGTAACTTCATAAGCCCAAGAATCATCATAATATGCAATTGCGATTTAGTTAATAATTTAATTACATGTTTTTAGTGTGTGCGTATGTGTGTGCATTAATCACATCTACCTTGTAATTATTGATTGATGAAAATGTCTAATAATCACCTTGAGCTGCTGTTGTAGGCGATGAATTTCCTCTCTCTGTTCCACAATCTCATTATCTCTGCCACGTAAAAGCTGTATCGTGTCGTTCATACCACTGTCGTTTGTTTCGAGCACCAGGTGCGCCCTGAGCTGTTTGTTCCTGGCATCCAGTTGCATAATATGCTGTTGGGCCTGCGCTACTTGCTTTGTCAACGAGCCCACCTTCTCCTCGAGTGCTGCTGACTCCACGCACTTGGAGGAATACTTGGCAGATAGGGATAAGATCTCTTGTTTGATCTCCTCCATCTCCTCCCTGAAATAACGCCAATGTCATTATTTGATTATTAATTACCGAGGAGTCTTTTTAGCAGTTGCTTGATTACCAAACATACTCGTGCTCCTTATGCAAGGCTCCAATGTCCTCTCGTGCCTGCATCTGTTTGATGAATTCTTGTTTAAATTTTGCGATTTCCTTTTGCACCTCGTGCTCATGAGCCTTCCTCATAGCGTCCAATGCGGCCAGAGTCGCCTGCGTTTCCTCCGACAGCGCTTGCTCCTTTTCAATTCTCAGATTTTCCAATTCTTGCCGATGCTTCTCCTCCATCTCAGATATTATACGCCTGTGAGAGTTTTCCATTGCCAGCAGACCCTTCTCGCATAGAACTCTTAGTTGTTTGATCTCCTCCTTGTAGCGCTTCCTGGTCTCAACATCAGTGTCCAGCTCTGCGCTGATGGAACGCTGATATGCGGCACGTAGTTCATTTACGTGAGCCGAATGCTCGGAATCCATTGCGTTCAGTCTGTGTTCCAGTTTCCTGGCTCGTTCTCGCAAGGTGGCTGCCTCCTGTTCATATTGAGATGTAAGGGAGTGTCTCTGGTTGTCGAGTTCACCTTTAATATCCATAATATCACGTTCCTGGTTTCGTCTCAGATTTTCCAGCTCTTCGTTATGCTCAGCCGTTAGTCGCTGAATTGTCTCCTGCAGTTGGTTACACTGATTGCACGTGAGACTCCTTACGTAATCGTCGAGACGTTTTATCTGCTCACGAAGTTCTGAACACTTTTCGCATACGCTGGACCAGTCTGTGATGGTGATGACGGATTTAGGCCAACTCATAGTCCCGTCGATCTTGTCTTTCAGGGTCTTGCTGAGATTAACTAGATCTTCTTCGAGGTAGGAAAGAGACTGACTGACGTTCTTTAGCTGCTCCTTGGATCTGTGCTTACCGGATATCCTGTCTTCGCAGTCCTTGGAGAATTGTTGGTATAGATAGATGTACTCAGCATCCAGAACAGGGTCGTTTTCAAACTCATCCCCTACTAACTGTGTAAGGATGTCGTCGTTACGAATTAAACTGGACACGAAGGTCTCCCCGGAGAAACAGGAAGTTGATCCCGTGCTGTCACAAAGAAGAGATATTCTGGAATCTATCAAAGCCTTTTGTGCAATTATATCAGCGTACTCCATGAGTAGTTGTCTGGATTCGTATTTGGTATCAGAGATAGGTTTATTCATTTTAGCTCTGCGTAAACATTCCTCGTACACGACCGTCAGCTCGCGAACAGAGAATTCCATTTCCTGTCGCAGCTTCGCCTGAGCTTCATCCGCCCAGGATTCCATTCCTATGTGCTCTGATGCTTCAAAGTTGAGACAGGCGTCGGATACCGATGCAATATTCTGCTCGTAAACTTGGCCACATCTCATTATTATATGAGATACCTCAGATTGCACCAATTCCTTGCTGACGGTTTCCTGAGCTAAAGCCCACGCTTCACGGATCCTCTTATCCTCTAGGAGTTTCGTACCAGATGGTACAATCTGTTTTCCAAGATCCTCCTGCTCGGATAGATCAAGGGTTTCGGCGGCCAAGACCTCAGCTAGCTGTCCTAACTTAGTCTCCTTATACCTCTGTACAATATCGTTAACCTCCTTTTGCTTTTGCACCAGGTAATTTAGACTCTCGCTCTTCGCGGCAGAGACGTCCTTGGACACCTCATTTGTCAGGGTGCCTCCTATAAGTACTAACTTATTCGCTAACACTCTAGTGAGATACTGTACGTAACTCGTGTTTTGGTACATTTTCGGCTTAGTTCCACGGACCTTACATTTTAAGTTTGAAATAAGATGACTAGTTTCGACCAATTCACTCAGAACAGCACTCCTGTCGAACGTCCTGCCCATCGCGCACTTTATCTGCCTGAGTATCACCGACTCGAATGCTACCCTCTCGGCAATTAACTTCAGCTTTTCTTTGTCGTCCAGGCGACCTGTTTGCGCAAGTACCTGGCGTCGTTTCGTCAGCTCGCTTATCTTTTCCCTAAGTATAGTCTCTAGTTTAGACACCACCAGACCCACGGATTCCGTGAGTTGGTTACTACTGGACTGATTCTTCTTGCACTCTACACAAGAATCTAGAATGTCGTTCACTTCGCGAAGGCATTTTTCAGCCTTCTCCTCAGCCTGCGTTGAACCGAGACATTTCTCCAGTCTACGTTTGGATTTAGAAACGACCCTCTCCAATTTCTTCAACCTGGACAGCACCTCGAGGGAGACTTCGCTGGAGGTTCCACTGACTTCACTGCATTCGCTGGAATCCTTCTCTACGTCGCTGGCCATATTATCTGCAACATTAGCCACTTTTGTCTCCAGAGTACTGAGACGAATCAGAACTTTCATAGGTTCCGAACTCGTAGCGCTATCTAGGGATTTTCTACGCAGTCTCGCTCGATCTAAGCTTTTATTCTCACGCTTCCTTTCTTTCTTAGGATTTGGACTTGATTCTTTGGAGCTGCTTCCGGCTGAAGCTGGCGCACTTATACTCTTGCCACGTTCTATGGCGCAGATTTTATTCTCTAGGTCCATGAGCTTGTCCTCCATTTCCTGGGAAATTTGGAAAGACTCTCTACCCTTCAAAGACAATGATCTTCTCTTGTCCCTCGTTTCAGCCTTTGTCAATTTTTGCTTCAGCGCCCGAACTTGTTTCTCACTTGCAGCCAACTTATTGGTCAAATCCTGAATCCTAGCGGCCATCAGTTGAACTTGAGCCTGGTTCGTCTCGTTTACTCTAACAGCATCCTGTTTATGTGCAAAAATTTCCAGTTCCAGTGCATCTTGTGTAGCGTGTGCTTCGCGTAATTCTCTACGCATCGCTCTGATCTCCAAGATAGCCTTTTCGAAACGACCACGCAACTCGTCGTACTCCTCCATGATTCTACAGATAAAGAAAATAATCATACGTCACGTATAATGGAGATCTGGGTCAGAATTTCTTGATATAACTAAAGTGTCCTACCTCTCTTTATCCAGTTCATTTAAATCCAGGTCCAGGTCAATGTTGGTCAGATCGCTAAGCGAATCGAAACTCCTGCCTCGTTCCCTGGAAGCAGAGAGACCGGTCTTCGCTTCCAGTTCTCTTACTCTCGTATAGAGTCTTTCGTTCTCTTCGATTCCTGTAAGCAAAAACCAAGTTATGATCAGATACCGCCGTGGTGGACAATGACAAATTCCAAGTAGATCATTCCGTACTAACCCTGGGAGAGACGATCACTCAAGGCAGTCATCTCGGTCTGCAGATGCTCGACAGTTCTGTGACTTGACGAAAGCTCGTTGGTCAGCATTTCACAGCGTTCAGTAGTCTCCCTGAGGATAGCTTCTGTTTCGAGTAGCTTGCACTCAAGAACCTCCTTGTCCCTGTTGTAAAGTTTCTTGAGTTTCTCCAAGTCCTCGAGATCCTTGTTTCTTTGCTGTTCCGTTCTTTGAATGGTACTGAGAAGTTCCTCGACCTGCTTTTCCCGGATAGAGGCTTCAGCCTTCTGTTGTCTGAGTCTAGAAAGTTCCTTTTCAGCATTAGCGATATCCGTACGAGCAGAATTCAATTGAGACTTCAGATTTTCTATCTCGTTCTCCTGACGCTCGATAATGACTAGGAGAGCGGCTGGGTGCGATGGATTCTGATCATTGAACTGATCCCTAAGCATAGCCACCTGGCTCTCCAATAATTCCACTATCAGAGGATTCTCGCTGGGGTCTTGTAGATGACCATTATTTTGCTCTTCGTCCTCGCCCAGCTCACAGCACGCCATCATGAGATCTTCAGATCTCACGCTATCCAGAGTACTACGTCTGGAGCTCGGTGGCGAGCTACGACTACGCTTATAACCTCTAGACCTGGAACTTGACCTCGACCTGGCCTTCACCCTGGACAAGGCAGTCCTCGTTAAAGGCGGCGATGGAGGCAATTCGGACCACTCATGATTAGTCATGTCTGACCAATTGGATCCCTTGAGCGGCATAGACCAATCTTCATTTCTAGTTAGAGGTGGAGATACCGGCATTTCTGACCAGTCACCGGATTCCCTACGTCCACCCTCAGAAGCCGTTCTGTACTCCTCATCGGATGAGAAGAGAACAGACCTTGGCGTAAGAGGAGTAGAAGGTACAATAGAGTCCCTCTCTCTATCGGTAATGGACCTAATATCAAAGGACTGTCATCAAAGAAACGAACAAGCTATAATAAGCAGTCTTAACACAAACTAACTAGACTAATTACTCACGTAGTAGGTGACTGAGGATTAGCTTCTGGCTGCGTTTCCTGACACACTACATGTCCGTCCACACTGTTCTCCGGATCTGGCAGATTCGCGGATCTCCTTATGGCCGACATCCAGCTGGATCTGATTCCGGCCGTGACCGCGGATAGAACTGTGGTACCGCGATCGTCCCAGGTCTAAAATAGACAAGTTCACGTCGACGCGAGACGGGTATTAAAATCACGATAAACAAGCATCCACGTCATACGACTATTTGTCTCGAACAAACATTAATTCCGTCTAAGAGCGTCTGCGAGTGTCGACTATGCTTATGCGCCTTTACCAACAGACAGAAAGACACTGCAATGCGCGAGGCAGTGTCCCATGAAATTGAATTAGCCGACTTTTTCACTCATGGGGACATCATCGTCACCGTTCAGTCACGTTACCAGCAAAATTTCCTAGTAGTGCCAGCTACTGTCCACCGGCTCTGTCCACGCAAGTTAATCCAGTGGATCCAATTGAAGTGCAAAGCCCCTGTACAAGTCATTATTATATCGCGACCGTACACACTCATCACGAACATGTTTCCGTATCAATTTACGTTGCTTGATGCGATAAGAAAGGATCATGGAAATAAAAATTATAATTTTTCGCGTACGCGACACTCACCGAGTTTGCACAAGGTGACGGGATAATAAATTGGATGGCGCTTGAGAGCAAACTTTACGGCCAGCTTATTTTTCGCGCACGTTACTTATTTTATATTGTGTTTGAGGAAAATTAAAAAGTAGTTAATGGGACGTACCACTGTCTGAAAACCGTAATTTCTCGCTACTTGTACTGGAGTTATTGCTGTTACTGTGTTTAGATCTATTACGCCGTCCATAATGCCCTTGTCTTCTGCGCTGGGATCTCTGTAGTACATCAGACCACAACCACGCAAAACGAACCAATGCTTGTTCCATTCCTGCAACAATATCATTATTATCGTTATTATTATTATTCTCTCTCGTAATTGTCTCGCACACCGAGACAAGTATATGACGATAATTTTACCTTGTTAAGCCCTTGCTTCATGAGCCAGCCTTTCTTGATGTTTAATAGATCCTCGGCAGGTAGATCAACCCTTAATTCAGACGTGGGTGAGTATCTAGTGCCAGATATGTCCAGGCCGCAACCATCAGGATCGCCCCTTATCTAAATAAAAAAAGAACAGGATAGTGCACGAGTAATATTTTAAAGTCATTGCGCTAATTGATTAATGACTAACCAATTTGTCTTGGTGAGCTGCATTAGCGGCATCCACGACGTCTCTGGTTGGTTCCGAGGTTCTGGGCTTGCTTCTACGTGCTCTTGGCTGCGTTAAGGATGCTGCGATATCGCGAAGCTTACCCTCGCGTTCTCTCTCGTGCTCCAGGAGTATCCTCCGACAAGCATCATCGTCTGGAATAAAATAGCCCATAAGCCACAGTCTCCTTGGGATTGCGAAGAGGTCTCGCGAAAAATTGACTATCAAACGTGAACGCCGAGGAATCTTATAGGGACTCGTTAAATCCCATTCCTGGCAGTCCATTAGCCATCACACGTGGTACGGTAGCAATCTAAATGAAATCTAAGGAAGAAACGGAACAGAGAGATCCCGGCTGTCGCATTCGAGCGCTCTTAGATTCGCCGTAAGATATCCAGCTACGCAATTACGCAACGCTACGCAGAACTATATCAGTACCGTACCAACCAGGGATAGATCATCCGTGGGAAACAGCGTCCAGGACACGAGTATCAACGAGACAATGACTGATGAAATAATCTGGATAATTCCTAGGAATTTAATATGCAACCAGAAAAAGTGTTGAGCATACTCAAAGAAACTCGACATCAACTAGCATTCCAATGATCGAACGCTTTGAATTCCAGTCGTCATCCACTATGGTGACCTGGGGTCTCATCGATTCTGTCATTAATATCATAACAATCACAGGTACACAGACTGACCCAATTTTTCAGCAGAACTGACGGGGGCCGTGACGGAGCGTTCTCCTTGCTGACTCATTCTTCGACGTGCCTTGTCTTCTGCACGGAGTTTATCCCGGGTAGGTGGGGACGCGCTACTGGCTGGTTGATCCCTGTAAGCTCTTCCTTCGTTCGGTGCGATAGGTGGCTTATCTATTAAGCTCGACGTGACTGAGGTACTGGTCGTCGAAGTGGAAGTCACCGATGAACCATTAACGGCGATCGTCGTCGAGATATAAGGATGACCAGTGGTACCGTTCTCCATTGTGGTATTCCTCAAGGTGGACAGGCTATTCCTGATGGCGCTTCCGGTTGCCGGTTCAGCTGTCAGGGTACTGGCGATACCATTGGCAACGGTGGTAGTCGATATCGCACTGGATGATGTACTCGACGGTAAGGGTGTGCTCGTGGTGAAACCGGAAGTACAGAGCTCCGCTGAGGTAGCTTCCGGGAGCCAGGTGGTGCTTGTACTGCGTGGCTCCGATCGGCAGCTGTTGAACCGCGGTCGTGGCGGGTTCGGCGTGTTACCTGGGGGAAGCAATGACGCAGTGAAATAAACAAATTGGCGTGACTACGCGAAAACGTGGCTGCAGGATTATCATCTCGAGGACTTCCAGGAAAATGGTGCAGGTAAATAGCAAGGTGGTGAGAGTCTTGTCGCGTGATATATTAATGACGCAAGATCGGTCAGCGTGGAGTAACGTGACCTTGTAGAGATTGGGATCATCAATGGATTATCTCGAAGACCGTCGTAATAATATGATGACGCTCGTAAGTTTCAAAAGATAATTAAATATTTAGATGAATCCAAGATACTTACTGCGAATGGTGGGGGTGACCTGGAGGATGGTAGTTTGACCTCCTGGAAATGTGGCATTTCTCTTGTGTCGTCCCTGAAAGTAAACGAGTGTCGATAAAGTCAATTCCTATGTAAGCAAAGTGGTTCGGGTCTATGAATCCTATAGCAAAGTGTAATCAATAGCGAATGATAACTGTCTATAGGTATATTACGAGCACTCTTCGACTGCATAATTCATAAGATCCGTCGACATGCAAGAAACAACAATACCGAGCGTGTTATGCTGTCGCGAGGTGATTTATCGTTCGCTACGTATTCGTGTCAATGATAGTCGCGTATTGACTGCCATTGCGAAAGCTCATTGCGATCCTATAGATATAATCGAAGTACGTGCACTTTCTTAATACAAGTCGATCGGTAACAAAACCAACTTTACGTTGATTTTCGATAATCCACAAGCAGACCGATGGTAACCGTGACATTCCGCGGACGAATCTTCTCGATCTAGGAATGACAAAGAAAAATGGCGAAAATTCATTTCCGTCACGTTGGCAACCATGTGCACGTATATAGCCTTGGCCTCTTAACGTGTCTGCGACCGGTCGATCGGCAGCTGTGACGAACGAGGTGTCTCGATTTCCTAATCGAACGTTATTCGCGCGACTTTCGTAACGTCTCTAGTCGCTCGCCAATGTAATCGCGGCTTAAACTCGTTGTCGCCCGTTAAACGTATATCTGAACGACGATAGTAATCGCGAACGGTACATAAGATTCCTGCGTCCTTGACCGACCAAAGAGCCCGGAGGATGAATCTTGTAACATCTTTTTTCTCTCTTCTCGTCTCCTTTTATCTCTATCCTTTTCCTTTTCTTGTGCGCTCAATCGATCGAGCGACCCGATCGATTCGCGACTCCCGAATGCCGCGCGCGCTTTAATCCCTGAAACGAGTTTGTAGCCGCCGCGTAATCGGACGACACGTTTTCGAATTATATTATAGGCGGTCTGAAGTTGGCTGCCAATGATTTCGTAATGATTACGCAAGCCACTTAGCACCGTTCGTAATACGTGCAAGGAAAATAAGTAAAATAGCCGATATAACGCTCTCGAAGAAAATATTACGAGGTGGAGAATGGGTAAGGGCTAGTTTCTATGAAGCTACGTGAAATTCATTTTTCCAATGCCTTCCCTATTAGGTGGTACAGGATCGCGAAGAATTGCAGGAAGGAGCCAATCGGCTGTCAAGTACTCCATGCGAGGCCCCACGCCTCGTATTGTCAACGTAACGAGCATAACGCAGCAGGATGCGCTAATGATTATGCTACTGCCGCACAGCCAGTAGGTACTCGCCGATGAATTGCACGCCGTTCTCTTCGGTCGGTTCTCCATCTTCCATTCCCCTCTCTCTCTCTCTCTCTCTCTCTCTCCCATTTTCTCTTTTCATAACCTTTAATAAAGCATAGAGGCGCGACTACGAGAGCGCCTAACGAGCGACTTTCCGAGCGTCGCGCGTGTCCCTTGCCCACGTTCGCACGTATCACGTATACGTTGTACGTTACGTAGCTCCGCGCGCGCGGCTACATTCATTTGCCCATCGCGGACACAGTGGATTAGTGTAACCATGGTAATTACGTGGGACATGCAATTCTCCTTTTGACTCTATCTACATACGACCGTAGCTGGGCACTCACTGCTGATAATAGAAACGGGAACTAAAAAGGAATAGAGGATTTCTCGTGGACTAGCTGCATCCTGATTATCGACAATTCCGAACGTTACGCGTTTCCATGTAGCGGAACGTGCCAGTTTTATTATCTTGGAACGTTGGTAATTAGGCACGTCGCGATTAAAATGTTGTTCATCCTTGGTAGTTGAGTGCATTTTTTTTCTTCTTGTTTTTCGTACTTGTAAGAATTTCCGATAAGAACTGTCACGGTCTTTAAAAGGTTACAGGTATCTATATACCTGATGTATATGCACATATGCACATATATATATATATATATATATATATATATATATATGCATTACCTTGTTTCGCGTATACACCTGGAGAACGTCACCCCACCAGCGTGTCTCCTCGCGACAGGTTCCCTTGATGAACGTAACACCTTCCGGTGCCGTTATGGCCAGACTGTAGGGATGTCCTGTGACGTCCTCGGCGGCGGCAACCTCCAGGACTCTCGTCATGTCGATTCGGGCTTGCGGTACCGTTTCCGGCTGGAACAATAAACGCACAAACATCACGTATGGGAAGACTCGTTTGCGTTTCGGTTGTTTAGTGCTGATATAAACAGAGTTTGGAGTTTATCGAAGCGCCTCGGAGCGTTGCGTTGCGCAACGAGCGCGGGAAAAAATATCACGGAGAACAAACGAAGCTAGATCTTTCTAGGAGTGCTGAGATATTTATTAGCCAAACAGAGGAAAGACGTCATGGAAAGTAATTGCGTTGCTTTGGCACGTTGCTGGTTAAATGTTGGTTGCGTGTCAAAAATTCTACACGCTATAACCTGGTGTTGTATCGAGACGCGCACGTAATGGGATTCGCTGGAATATAATTGAAGATAGCTGAAAATCATTTATTTGACGTGTCCATTGACATCGTTATCGTACGAGCATCTTAATTTATAATCTTCATCGGAGATAACGTACGAGATTTTATGAGACCTTTAGAAATTAAGTATACGTTAATGTTTGTCTAAGAGAGTTGTTCGCGGCTTCAAAAATGTTTAATTATCGCAACTCTCTTTTTTTTCCGAAATAAGATGAATATTATAGGTGGGAGATTCTTGGCAATTTCGTCAATGACTTTGCGTGCGCGGTGAGGTCGGTTCTGCCATTAATGGAGAAAGTCGACGGAACAGTGAACCAGATGGTCGAGTTGTTGAAAAAAAAATAAAAAGGAAAGAACGACAGGAGAATTCTGTATACATAGAGGGGTGGTGAGGGAAAAAAGTAAGAAAAGTCACATCCGAAGTGCATCATCGTCGGGGAAACGATTGCGAGCCGCATATCTCGTCGGATGCACAATCGCTATGTCGAGTTCACAATACGTACGTGGCCGTTTACCATTTGCTCCACTCGTGCGCTGCAACCGGCAAAGTGCAGCTCGTTAAGTGCTTTCTTTTACAGACCATAGAAAGTCGAAGTCGACCGCGAGGAAAATTAGAAACTCGTCTTAAGGCACTAAACGCGCGTTCGCGTGAAATCCTCTAGTAGGACTGCGTGCGCTTTGTCACGGGACTTGAACTTCTCTGATAAGGTGCAAACGCTTATGCGCCACAGGGCACAAGTTTCGAAAATTACCTAATACCAATATACATACATAATACATTTAAAATTGTACTCCCACGGTTCACCGGATGACGCGCATGTACTTTCCACATTTTAACCACAGCTGTACGAGACCACATTCCAGAGTACATGGTTTAGGAAAGAATTATTTTATAAATATATTACACAATTCATACATGAAATCATGCAGATACTTGACTACGTAAAAGTTAGTACCAACAGCAAAACCATAGTGTCAAAAACATGAGAGCGCGATGTGTCCCCGTTTGCACGTGTCCTGTTACCACGTGGTTCTTTTCACTCTGTCATACACAAAGGCGTGTGCGTAGGACGGGCGACACGAACCGACTAATCGTATGCAGGGCTACGTCGCTGCACGTACGTTCTAGTACACTATATCAGACACAGAGAGTATAGGTACGATATGCAAAGAACAAAAGAAAGCACGTAGCGATAAAAGAAAAAAGGTATTAATAAAAGAAGGTGAAACTAAAAAAGAGAGTTCGGCGACGGGCAAAAGCGTCCAAGCCATCCGTCTTGCGCGTCAGCCGTTACGCGTGACACCGTAGCTTTTTGTGTGGCCAACGTGTTTATTAGCAAGAAGCGAACCGGCTGGCCTCCCGAGGTTCCTCGCTTCCCCTACGTCAAAAACGGCGAGGAGCACCGCGACGCGGCGCGGCGCTTTCCTAGTGGTCCTGGTGGTTGGAATACGGTGACCAGGTCGCGGAAGTCACAAGATGGGATAAGCACAGGCTCGCGTAGAACACGAGTTGTCGCGCCTCAGGACCCGTTCGTCGTCCACATGCGAACCGCAATCTCTCATCTAACTTCACGTCCTCCGACCTCGGTCCAGCTACGTGCTCAGGCTCGCCGGATCTCCCGAGATTTCCAGTCGTGCCAACTGGTCATGGATTTTTCTGGCCGCCGACTAGGATCTTTTAATTTCGTCCTCCAGCCGTAATACATCACATAACCTCGTGTCGGTTCACATGTGCTCGGGCGCATAAACTCCCGGAAAAGACAGTTAGCCATGGCTCGACTTCCTGCTCGAACGGTATCGCCATTGTTCGGGTGGAGGGGCTGATATCATCTACAGCCGAGAGCCCAACATTCTTGCACTTGTATCCTCATATAGTTCAACATAAATTAGTCTCATTCCGCGGTTAGAACTTTAAATTACGAGGCTCCAAGCGAGACACCTGACAGCTCGTACCGGGGGTCATCGGGCGCCTCGTAACTCATGCAGGATCCTCTGGGGCCTCCGCGTGGCTCGCGATATGCCCGCAACGTTACAGGCGCATTGTACAGCGGCGAGGATATCGCGGGCCCTCAGCACTCGGAGCGTCAAGCTAAGACTGGATCATATATTATCGGAGATTCCTCTTCGCTAACTAGCCGCGGCTACCGCCAGCTAGAAACCCGCCAGGTTCCTCAACGGAGAGTGGAGTCCTGCTGCATCAGGGGTCTCTCTCGGACTCTCTTTTCGCGCTTACGCCTATCTTTTCTTTACTTCTGCCTTCTCTCCCTCCTGTGCTCCTATCTACGTACTCGCATGCTATTCTCGTACGTCTTCGCTCCGCGGCTGTAATCGACGAGAAATCATCGCTCCCCGTCGATGCTCGATAATTACCAAGTCGAGGGCAAAAGTTTTTCGCCAACCACGTGGCACTGCTAATTGAAAAGCTATGGGATCCCGTGGTAATACGCGCCCCCTGCGCATGATCTTCCGAGCGTCCTGATGATGCGGCCGAGTCGTGCCGGAACCACCGCAACGTTTCTACGTGTATAGTGCATTTATGAATACTCCATATGGGGGGTTTACGCATTCTCTCACGTTTATGGGAGGAGTCTCGCACGCACCATAAGCAGATCTACCGCGGTCTAATCGGCTTGTATCCATCTACAGAGAATCGCGATCGGGCGCTTCGAAGATCTTTTATCAATGTGAACTTTTAATCTGCATTTATCGAAGGGTTTTATTATTATCGTTGATTAGCACTTGGAGATATCCTTTTGAAAATATTTCAGTATCGTTCGTTGCCGACGAAAATCAGTTTGCTAATTTACCATTGGTTCGAATATCTTATTCGTTGCGATATTACGGATCTGGAAACTCGCCTTTGTCCAGTTCGGTCTAAGCTCATCGAGCAGCAGGAACGTAATTATATTAATGCGAGATGTCTTTATTAATCGACCTCGCCTCTCATACAAATTACGTCCATTACTTACACACGGAACTCGCACAGAGTGTTACATACGGTATGTGGTTATATAATTATATAAATATAGTATAATATATTTTCAGCATACCGTATATGTATATACACCTTTCACGATGCATCTGAAACAGATTGGCACTGCGGCTATACTACGTTCGTCGTTACTCCTTCATTATGAATTTTTAAGGCAGCTAATGTCGTTGCGTAATCAAATCCCATAAATTGCAAATGCACGAAAGCCAACGACAGTAATGACAGTTGGTCGGTGATTAACAAACAGACGGAAACGCCGGAGTAACATGGCCGCCGATTTCTTAGCTGCATTAAAACGAACAGGTGATTCGCTCCCGGCACGTTGCATTCTCGGAATGAGGAATGCCACTGCAAGGCCGATTTATTAAACGTGAAATATATATTGATTTTTAATTCTGACACAATTAATAACTTTTTTTCATTACCTGCACATAAAACTGTTTGCTCATGAATTTTTAATGGCAAAATTCGCATCAGTAATAAAATTTCTCGTATGCATAAATTCTATTATGAGTGGAAAGTATTATTATATTAGACGCCCGTAATAAAAAGAGCCGCAGTCCTAGATTTAGCGACCACCGACTGTGTACGATGATATATCCCATAAATCATAAGAATCGAGGAAATTGATTTGGTTTATTGTTCCACGGCGTGCGCGGCTGTTATTTCATTATCTGAGACGGGGCAGTAAAGAAAATGGGTTATGGGTGGCTGCAAGATTAATGTGGCACCTGCTTGCAATTATACAGGCGCGCTTGAGCATTCGCGTACGCTTCTCTATATATACTTTATCTTTCTCTCCTACCGCGCTCCACGTCCCTATGCCAATCTGCGTAGCAAGTTCTGAGTACATTTGCGATATACCAAGTAGCAGTTGCCTATAGTCGGTCCACAAGTTCCACGTGTTTTTTTTTTTTGACACACGGAAAAGAAACGTGTAACACTGCATAAAAATTTTTGTTAAAAATTATATCCACGGTTTTACACAAAATATTTTTTTCATTGTAGCAATTATTTAAATCATTTTATAAAAATCCACGTGTGATTTACTAAAGACAGTCGTTGCTTGAACTGTCAAAAATAGAGACTGAACTCGTGGATCGACTATACTACCAACGTACAAAGTCGTATACAGACCTTGAATCATCTCATTTTGAAAATCTCAAACAGATCATCGCAATTGATAATAAATCAAATCAATAAAACGTAATAACCCTTAGACCAACCCTTACCAACCCCTAAATTCAACCCTGAGTAATTAACTCTAGGTATTCAAAGCAGCCATTACCTTCCTCAAAATGTCCCTATTAGCATCACACAACAGTACTTAACCCTCGCAACCATAAACTCTTGACGATAATCCCGATAGCATTGAAAACGGCTCGAGATGACGGCTCGAGGAGAGTCTTCGGTTGCCGTTCCTTTGGGTACCTATGTACCAAGCCTGATGGAATGCCAGCCATGTCAAATGCGTGTTACTCCCGTGGCACGAAGGCACGAGCTAAGGTAGGTACACGTTAGTTACTTGTACGTAGCTACATACGTTTGCTAGGTAGTACATACATATGTACGTTTCCTAGTTGCTCTCTCGGTTGGGCGTGTCGCAATCAGGAACGAGTATATACGCCGATCCCCACCTTCGGGACTTCGATATACCATTGCTCTTGCAATAGC